TGTGCATGGGGAAGTGGCATAGCATGAGGAGGTTTTCTGGGCTCTGAAAGTCGTGCCTGTACAGCTAGTTTTGCTAATAATTAAAACGGACATTTCCCCACTTGCTGGTGTTTCCTTGCAGACGTGGCTCAGCACGGGCTGAGGCCACGGAGCTGGGATCACCTGGTGTGCACGCAGCGAGGCCTAGGCTCAGGAGAAACCGTCATTTTTCATGTAGACGTTCAAGGCAGCATTATTGGGAGTTTATTTCAGTGTGATGTGTAAAACGGTCCTAAAGGAATTTTTAAAAATCATATTTAGTCTTGGAAGAAAGTTTGAAATATGTGTGTATATGCAGGAAGAAAGAGGTAAGGCCGAGAGGGGAACAGTGGACGGGGGTGAAGTCCCCCCAATGGTTCTTTGTTTAAAAATTTCTCTGCAACAATGTGAGTATTGTTGAAAGCAGGTCTTCCCAACGCAGGGTCTGTGCATGCACGTGGGCTCGGGAGGAGGGCTCTGCTTCTGTGAAAGTGCAGGGAATATTTTGCAAATGTCTTCGTGCAGTTTTCCGAACCTGCAGCTTCTGTGAGGTTTGCATTCTATGAGGGTTGTGAGACATTAAAAACAGACAAATGGTTTCGAGGAGGATGCAAAACCTTGCGAAGAAGTGGCTTTGGAAAAGCTTCCAAACCCTCAGACCTCCGTTTCCCTGGCTGTCTCCCATGGGTTTGATGAAATGATCTTTAGGGTCCCTTTGTTGGTATTACTTGAATGTTAATATCCTCAGGAGCCTTCTGAGGACTCCCCTCACCAGTTTGTTAGGAGATTTAAATGTGATCCCAGCCTAAAGAGCAATTAGCACAGGGTCTGGCATCTAATTAGCACCCAGGAGTGTTCTGGTTGTTGCTGGCGAACTGGGAACAGGATCCTCCCAGTCCTGTGGGCTGACTGGTCTATTGCCACAGTGTCGGGAACAGCGTGGTTCTTGCAGACCGTTGAGAGGAAGGTCATTCTCTGATGGAGGAAGCCCTTGGAGTTTCCAGGCGGCTCTCCCTGCTTTCTGTAGGGTCTGTACCTCTCCAGGTGCTTAGTCCAGTGCTGGCGCCCTTCCGGTCCTAAGAAGGATCCTTCCACTCCAGAAGTTTTGCTTCAACCGCAGGTCAGACCATGGTCCTGCTGATGTGGAGAGGTGTTTGCATGTGCGCACATGTCCCTGCCTATCCTTGGAGTTAGTGTACCTGGAGCTTTGGTCAACGAGAAGTTCAATCTTGACCTTCTGTAGCACAGGTCTTATCTTGGAAGGCTCGGGGTGTGCTAATTTGGAAGCTCTCTTTGGATAATGTCTGTTGGACTGAAACACAGGAAAATGTGGCCAGAGAAAAATGTGACTGCAGTTCCAGAAGGAGCCTGGGCTCCACCACTGGAAGATCTTTCTGTCTGTCTTAGCTTTGTCCAGTAGCCCATCACCTGTCATCATATCTCCTGTCATCTGTCATTTGACTTCTGCACACTTTCTGAAGTGAAGGCCTTTGCTCTGCTCAACTGACTTTTTTTTTTTTTTTTTTAAAGATTTATTTATTTATGCCTACAAGAGCTGGGGTTCAGGCCAGAAATGCAGAGGGTGGGGGGCAGTGAGAGGATTCACCAGAGACAGAGTGGGGAGCAGAACAGGCAGATTGACCAAAGTACACTGCTGAGGGGAGCAGTGGGCGAGTCAGGAGAGTTCTGCTGCGCCATGTAGGTAGCTCCCTGACTGGCCGGGAATCGAACTCATGCTGCAGAGGCTGTGGATAGCTTCAAAGGTTGCGTCTTAATCCTTGCGCCACCAGGGAGGCCCCTGTTCAACTGACTTATAATGAGCAATCTTTACAAGACTTTAATCTTCCAGATTAAAAATGAGTATTTTCACTTGGTCACTCATGTTGTTGTGGGGGGGGGTGTCAGCTGATTGGGGTACATTTAGTTACAGGCTTAAAGGCAGGCAATGCTCAACATCAGGTTACATGCTGTTCTGCTGATTAATATTCTAGTTATTTAAGTACAATCAAGCCTGATAACCCTGGGGAGGAGACAAGACTCTTACTTTCAAGTTCTTCTGACTCTGTCACCTACTCTGGTTAATTAAGTCATTGTTGACATTAACCACATCTTTGTTTACACCAACCCAGTAGGAGCTAAAATAAAAGGGCTTTTCCACCCCAAACCCTTAATTACTTTCCCACCCTCTGCAAAGTGTGATTCTGAAAAGCAACAACCTGGGAAAAAAGTAGTTTGCATGTTTATTTTTTTAACCTGCTTTTTGGCAACCTTTTGAGCAGTGATGTGTTCCTGGGATGAGGGTGAGCTGATGCAAAGTTCAACAGCAGAGGCTGAGGAGGATGCACCGGAGACCTCCCTCAGTTAGATTTTTTCGGTAGGGTTTAAGTCCTTTGTTGGAAGTCTCATAAGTCCCATAATATCAGCCATACGCATTTAATTGCAAGTTAAAAGAAAAGAAAAAAGAATATATCCGCATACCAAGACTGAATGATTTAAAATAATCTTCTGTTTTGCATTATCTGCGTCTTTATTCTTCAATATGAGTGTTAATATTTAAGAATTGACTGTAACTCGATAGTAAGCTTAGGGACAAGGACTCATTCTTGGTCAATTAAACCAAATGCAGGTTTATGCAGTTAAAGACACAATGAAGTACACATTTTTTATGAGTATATAAAGTATTTCCCAATTCATAGACAAAGCGCTGTGTTTAATATTGCTTTTCAGAGCAAAAATCTGGCAAGCCCAGAGAACTGGGACTTGTGTACTTTCTATCTGGTTCCATCTGATCTGAAATGGGGGTGCGTGTGCAAGCTGTTTATCTTAGCCAGTTAAAACATTGAGCACCTACTATGTGACAAGCCCCTCCCACCCCCCAGGTCACAACCGAAACTTGTTCCTTTCAAGTCTTTCCAGCCTCATTGAGGGTGAGAATTCAAATAACCAGAGCAGTCCACTGTGAGGCAGACATTTCCAGTATCAGACTTAATGAATAATTACATGGTTATGAAATAACCGGGTTGTGTTTAAACAGGAAGGGTTTTGTTTAATGTTCGCATTCTCAATAAAATATATCCAGTAGCCCTCCAGCTTGTTGTTGGGGTGTTTACTTATTCGGGGTAATTGTGAAAGGCTCCCATCCCCTCTTCTTTGAGTCTGGCTTCATTTTACAATTCTGTTTCAACTCTCTGATTTTACTCTTTGAAGGAAAACGTGGGGAACTGACTTTGGGGGTACCAGCTAGTCACACCGGGCCGGAGGCAGAGCTGGCTTGCTGCTGCCCCTGGGCTGGTTTGGTTCTTTAGCCCGGACAACTTCCCTTGATAGGCTCTTGAGAAATTATTCTTTGAACGTTTTTCAGGCTCTCCCACAGTGGACGCTAGGCCAGCACCTTGGGTTTTGCCTGTTGGTTTATCCGATGGCTGTGTTGAGTAAAGATTTAGGGATGGCTCTGCATTTCCAGCTTTCCTGGCATGGAAGCACCTAACCTCCCCTCCTGCGCAGTGTGGTTTCACTGGCTGGTCAGTGACCTTGTTGGAAGATGTCTGAACGGCAAGGCCGGAATGTTTGGCCTTCGCCGAGGGTTTCTGAACAGTGTTGCTTCAGCATCATTATCTCCCAAGCCCCAAAGAGCTGGAGTTTTTAAAGCCATGTACCATCTGGTTTATTTTTTTAAATTTTTTTATAAGATTTATTTATTAATGCATACAAGAGCTGGGGCACAGGCCAGTGGTGTGTGTGGGGGGGTGGTGGTGGCTAGAGGATTCACCAGAGACAGAGTGGGGAACAGAACAGGCAGATTGACTGAAATACACTGCTGAGGGGAGCAGCAGGCAAGACAGGAGAGGTCTGCTGCGCCATGTGGGTAGCTTCCTGGCCGTCCTGGAGATCTGGCTGGTGCTGCAGAGGCTGCAGATTGCTTCTTAGTGCGGTGATTAACCCCTTGCACCGCCAGGGAGGCCCCATCTGGTTTATTTTGTCTCCACAAACCGGCCACATCCTCCTGCTTGGACCTGGTGCTCTGGCCTTGGATTAGGGACTATCAGGAGAAGAACAGGACGCCCGCGTGGTTTCCAAGTCTGGTTGAATCAGCCTCTGGCCCAGGACCCCACTGTCAGGCAGGTCTTGGGCGTGGATGTCTCCTTGTGAAACTGACAAGGCCACACTTCCTGATTCAGCCACTCCCTTGCTCTGATCTGCTGTCACCCCCCTTTAGGATGTGACACAAGCTCCAACATGGTGGCTGTAGCCTTGGCACACGGTGGCCGTGCCGGCTCTCTCTGGCCTCTGTTTATATAACCCTAAGCTTTGCCCACTTGCATGTTTGTACCAGGAGATATTGAGCCGTCAGACAGACCTTGGAGAGCGTGTGGCAAGTAAAATAGGCACAATCTAGGTTTTGCGTAATTTTGGTTTGGGGCAACTCGCCTGCTGACTGAGTGCGGAGATGTTGGGTGTGAGCTGTTGTTCTTGATTCCACTTTGGAACCTGATATGTAATTACGCCTCGTTCTGGATTTTTGCCACTTCTGTGAATATTAATCTCCAGATTCTTTTGACTGTAGAGGCAGGGAGCTGACTGTGGGTACCTCTCCGGTAACCCCTCGTCCAGCTAAAGAGGGGGAAATGCCAAGTCACTTGGAATGAACATATAGAATTTCAGGCTATAGTGAGCATGTTTTATGAGGAGGTAAAAAGTAGCTTATAAGGAAAATACTGACTCAGGAATGAGGACAGGGATGTGTTTATTTGCATGATTGATAGAGCAGCGCTCCTTGGAAGAAAGAACTCAACCCTGAGTTCTGACATTAATAAAGCAAACTGTATAAATTGTGAGGATTATTTTCTAGCCCTGGTGTTACTTTCTATGACCTCCTTTTACACCACAGTTTACGGCTAAGTTTTTCCATACGTTTGAAAAATATCAAGACATCGAAGAAGCCAACTTTCTGTGGGGTAGGGGGTTGGGTGGGAAGGCGCTATAAAATGAATAGCCAGATCTTTGCAGTGGGTGCTCGGGTTTATGTTCTTTGAAACTTGTTAGTTGGCTGTTGCTCTTGCCTAAAAGGAATGTGGCTGCCTCCTTCCCTCCCTGCTAACCCTTCTAGATTTCCCTCAAAACCTTTCTGCTCTGGTAGGCGCACAAGTATCTGCCCTCAAAGTTAAAAATGCCACAAATTTTAAATCACTCAAACCTTAAACAACGACCATGAGAACTCCCTTTACAATTAAGCTAAATACTGCATCTGACACTTTTGTTCACGTCAATGGATAAAATTGTTTTGAATTGGTTTGCTTTCTAGAGACATAAACTCAGAGGGAACTTGGCCTTGGAGCTAGACAAGTCTGGCTTGGATCTCTCTAGATCTGCTCGTGCTGTGACCTTGGACAAGTTAGATGGCCTCTCTGTGCCTCCCTTTCTTTATCTTAAACGGGGCTGATAATATTTACCTGGGGTATCTACCCCGACTATGAAGATTCAATGCAAGTAGTGTAAACGCCCACTGCTCTTTCTGGCCCAGGCTGGGCATCCAATAAATGCTGCATCCTTCTCCTCCACCCACTTCCTTGTCAAAGTAAAGACCTGATAAAGGATTTAAATGTTCCTTTGAGACATTTACATTCATTGAAACAGAAAGGAGCTTAGGTTCTCGATGTGTCCAGCCCTTTTTATTATCTGGGGCTTTTGCAAGTCCCTGACTTGAGAAACGTGATCCTCCTGCTGCTTGGGGTCCAAATAGTTCAGGTTGATGGTTTTTTATTTTTTTCCCTGTTGAAAGAAGTCAGTTGTGGCTGTGCGGTCGCGGTGCACTGGGATGCTGCTTTCACAAGGCCAGGAAAGAGTTTTCTGTGGGGGGCTTCCGAAAGGGTCTGTCCCTAGGCCTGTGCAGTATGGTGGAAGGAATATTGTGGCCTTGGGGGCTGGTGCCCTGGGGAGGCGGGGTGTCCATAGCGAGCTTTGCTCTAGTCCTGGTCTACATAGGGAGCTCCATGATGTGTGAATGTGGTGCCTTCCTGGGTGCACAGGAGCGAGGCTCCCCATCTACAGGAAAGGGAACCCTGAGGGTTGTTAGGAGACCCCCAGTCCCAGTAGGACAGGGGAGGGGCTAAGCAATTGCTTGCATGTCACCCCCCCCCTCCCCGCATACTTGACAGGATGAGTCTGGGGCGGTCAGTGTGGATGGGGACATGCTCTTTAACCCATACCTGAGAGGGGTGCATGAGCGGGGTGCCTGGGACAATGCCCACTACCGTTTATTGTCTACCTGTTGTTAGCTCCTTGTAGGTACTCGGGCAGACATCACTTCCCATCCTAAGGATCCAGAGGACCCAGGAATCCCTTGTCCCGTTGGGTGGAATGGGATAAATAATCACTTCTTAGATAACAGAGACTCCAGGTGGTGAGATGATCCTGCCAGGGCCCCACAGCGAGTGAGTGTGGACCCCAGGCTTTGGGTGAATCTATTGGTGCATCAAAGATTTACCATGGATGCCTCCACTTTCCTGAGTCAGAAGGGTCTTTATGGAATACTGTGGGGCCTTCTTCTTTCCTGAACCTGCCATTTAGTTCAATTTGTAAGGACATTACTGGTTGATGGTGTTTGCCCCAACTCGTGCACACCTAGCCCCCTAAGGCTACATGAAGAAAAGTCACAGGCAGCTAAAAAGTTCCAATAGCGGCTACTTTATGATTTTTCTAGAATGGCTTCTGTGGGTATGTAGTTTATTGGTAAGAAGCTAACCTTCTCTGCTGCCCAGGAGCTGGGAAGGAAACCAAGTCCCAGTCAGTGACCAGGCTAAGCCATGTGACCTGAGCGCGGGACCAGAGGGGCTGGTCTGGTATTGGCCCCTTGGTTTATAAGCCCCCTCAGTGGCAGGCCATCTTTGAATGTGGTTTTCCTGGAACCTGCCCAGCATTAGCTTTTGGGTTGTCACTTTGACAGGATGTCAGACTCTTAGCATTTCTGGTTTGTGTAGACCCAAGTACCTTGAACTTCTGCACCGTGTGATCCAGTGGTCACGGGAATGACAGGCCCAAGCCCCCCAGCCCTTCTAAGTATCTTGGATGGTTTAAAAAAAAAAAAAGGAAAGGAAAGGAAAATTCAAGAATGAAAGGACAGAGGCAGCAGCTTCTGTTCTTCCTCTTGCGTGGCCAGGGAAGGGTGCCCCAAGAAAAGAGGCTGGAGAGTGGAGCCGTTATTATCATTAAAAACAATTTTTATACCCAGCCCACTCTTCTTCCCACCCTCCTTCGCCTGTGGTAACCTCATTTTGGCTTCCAGTGTCTAATGGATAATTTGTTTTGTTCATTCGCCTGCTTTGATTTCTTATATTGCACCTATAAAACCAGTCAGTGAATAATCAGCCAGCATTTGTCTTTATCTTTCTGATTTTGCTTTGCATCATCCCCTGTTCCTTCCATTTTGCTGTAACTGAGAAAATGTCACCTTTTTTTAAGGCTGGATAGTATTCCATTGTGCATATATATCACGCCTTATGTGGGTTCCATGCCTTAGCTGGTGGGCATAATGCTGCACTGGGGTGCATATAACCCCGCGAGGTAATGACTTCATGACGTGATCTTTGGATGGAGCCCTAGACTGATTGCTGGGCCAGGCTGTTGTTCTACTTGTAGTTTTCTGAGGAATGCAACAATTCACATCCCCATCAACAGTGTGTAAGCGTTGAGCTCCCTCCACAGCCTCTCCAACATCCTCTCCAACACTTGCTGTTAGCAGTCATTTTAATGTGAGCCATTCTCATTGGTGGGAGATGATATCTTATGGTGGTTTTGATTTGCATTTCCCTGTTAAGGCTATGAACATATGTCCATTGGCTATCTGTATTTCCTCGCTGCAAAACTGTCTATTCAGATCTGCCCACTTTTAAATCGGGTTGTTTTTCCCTTGCTAAATTGGAGGACTTCTTTATATACCTTGAATATTAACCCCTTCTCTGATGTGTGAATTGCAAATATCTTCTCCCATTCAGTGAGGTATCTTTTTAGTCTGCTGATATTTTCTTTCATTATGCAAAAGCTTTTTAACTGGCTCTAATCCCAATTGTTTATTTTTTGCTTTATTTACCTCCTCTTCGGGGTAGAGTCCCCAAAGACAGCTCAATGATTGATGTCATGGGACCCATCACCAGTGTGTCTGAAAGGGATTCGGCCATCCCCCAGGGGCCAGCATGCTGGAGTGACCCGAGCCAGGAAGGTGGGTGTGAGATGAGACTGGAGAAGTGGGTAGGAGGGCTGCTGGGTACCCTGTTAAGCTTTTGCTGGGTGCTTGCACTCAGCATCTTCCCCAGGCTGGGCCGCAAGGAATAGGGATCCATCTTGATTCTTCAGCAAATCAAGTGAATTGACTTGGTCAGTATCAAGATATGCTGGGTAGGTGGCTCTGAGCCCTGTTTGGCAGTTGTCAAGGACTTGTCAGTTGGTCGGGGGCAGCTCGGTCAGCCCCCAGCCCCTACTTGAGCTGGCCATGTCAGCCTGCTCTTTTGCCAGGCCAACAAGGAGGCAGGGAGGTGATTTGAGAACCAGGGTTGCTGGGTGGACCTGGGCTGAGTAGTGACACCCATTTTGTCCCCTTTTGGGGGCCTTGCCTGGGGACCCTGAGATGCAGCCAACGCTCCCTCTAGTCCCTGATGTGACAGGGATGCATAGTCTTGGTTTCAAAAAGGGATCAGGTAAGCTGTACCCGCTCTGTGCAAAGGTACATGGCAGCCTTGGGAAGGCGCACAGCCTTTCCAAGACCCAAGATCATGTGCTGGGGGTCTGGAAAGTGCCTTTGTTGACTTTTCAAGCTTCTTTTCCAGCAGCTTTTACCTCTGCAAATATGTTGCTTAGGGCAGGGGAGAAAGGTTAACCTCATGGCGCCTATCGTAATTTGGAATTTCCTGAATTAATGTGGCTTCAGGCCTCTGGCGCTGGATCCCCCAAAGGGGATCTTTTCTTTTCTCTGCAAATCACCAGAGAAAAGTGATCCACTGGCTTCCACTAGCCTTTCTGAGTCCTGCGGGGCAAAACCAGCTGGGAATGTGCCCGCCCACCTCCTGGGCACTCTGCCCCCTCCTGTTTTAGGCAATCCTCTCCAAGAGGTCATTCCATCCAGCTGCTTGCTAAAGACCCCTCGGGCTACGAATCTGTGCCTTGGTCTGAACGGGATTTTAGCCTGGCCAGGCCCGAACTTGCTGAGCCTGGGCTGCCAGATCAAACCCATTCAAATGAGGAGGGCCATCTGTTTCTCAGTATCCAGCTGCTGTCCCTTCATTTGCAAATGGTCGGGATGCTGCTGGGGCGTGGGGGTGGCCAGTCCGGGGACACATCTGCAGGCTCTGAACCTGTGTTGGAACTGGGGTCCTGCTGAGACAAGAAAGGCCGAGCCCTTTAAGTAAACTTGCTGAACAATCGCCCCCAAAAGGCCCCCAGTTGAAAAAGCAGGAGGCAGTCTTGCCCCCCTACCATGACTCTTAACCCCCCTACCACCTTTCCTTTTCCCTTTTCTTTGGTGGCTGGGGCCACTTTAAAAGTATTTGTGTGTTCAGAAGGATAATTGAGGGAGGGACCTGTTCCGCGGGCTTGGGGAAAATGTCAAGTAGGATTTGGACATAGATCTGACCTTTAAGGGACAAATGCACCATTTAGTGATTATTTATATCGGAGTCAGGAGGCCAGCTGCTCCCAGCAGCAGCTTCTAGGAGCTGTAGGTAACCCCATGTGCAGAGAAGTGGCGGTCCCCAAACACTTGCTTCTGGAAAGTAGTCAGACTGCTGGCTTTGGGGTGTGCTGTCTGCAGAGCAGGCCCGTTACCCACTCAGTGTGGCTGAGGTCCTCAAGCTTGTGAGCTGGGTTTGCCCCATGTCTGGGCCCCTTGCCGGAGGGTTTGGAGTCCGGGGTTGGTCCTGGACTGCTCAGGGCTTGTGCTAAGTCAGTCCTGAGCTCTTCTCAAGGAAGTGCTGTGGCGGGTTTGCCCCACATATAAATATCAGGTGTCTCAAATTTTTGGATGTCTAATAGATGGTATTGTAACAAGCCTCTTTCCTTGCTAAAATTCTCAAGCAGGTGTTGTACATGGGTGTTGATGATAACGACTCACAAGATTCTCGGATGTTTAATTCCATTTGGGAACATTCCAGAAATCTCCACTTAGGTAACTGACCTTTATATGATGTGACAGATTTGTTCATTTGAAAGAAAACCCAGTTTGTAACTCAGGGGAATGCAGATTGAGGCTCCCCTATAATTGGAAGAAACAAATTTTTAGTCACTTACCTGCAAGCTAAGCAGCCCATGGGCCAGGCAACCCCCGGCCCCAAGGCCCCAAAGCAAGGAGAGCTTGCTTTCACACATTCCCCCCGCCACTTAGAGTTCTCCCCCCAACATCCCTTCCCCCCCTTAGAGTTTACCAGGACTTTTCCAGACAGCTTCTGGCTTTGTCCTTGTGGTGACCTTGACCAGCAGCAGGCTGGTGGGAGATGCTCTGGCCCTGACAGCAGATGCTGGCTGGGGCCGTCCCTGGGAAGGGCCTGGCTCTTCCTCTGCAGAAGCGGGTCTCAGTTGCTTGTCCTTGGACTCAATCCAGTTTCTGACTTGTGACCCTGGGACCAGCAGCACCAGCTTTACCTGGAGACTTGGGGAATCCAGACCCTCAGTCTTGACCCCATGTCTGCTGACCAGAAACTTCAGGTCTGGGCCCTGTAGGGTAAGGAAAAAAATGTCAGGCTTTTCTGCCCTCCCGCCATCAGGATAGATGACGGATCCCTGCGGACCTGAATGCATGCCTGATGGCGGCTCCTGGAGCAGGGTGTGGGCCTAGGGAGATGGGATTCACCTGGGCTGAGACTGCGCTTTTAAGGGCGGCATCACGGGGACGCCAGCAGAAGCCGAGAAAGAAGCCAAGAACGAACGGAAGCCGAGAGAAGAAGAGAAGCAGAGAGAACACCAGAGAGCCCAGATAGAGTGAGGATTTGCTGGGGGCTGGGAGGCCTGCCAGCCTCCCGGCCCCCCAGCACCCCTGCCTGCCGTGTACCCGGTAAATCCCAATAAAAGCCTGCAAAGCCATTGAGGACTCCAGGACTCCTCCAGGACCCCGTCTGCTGGATCAGAAACCCTCTCAGTGGTCTTCCCGCCCCTACAGCCCCTAGAGGCTGTTTTCTAAATGTCCAAGTGTCTCTATGCGGAGAATCAAGGTGAGGCGCTAGCAAGGCCCCCGTGTCCCTAAGAATCCTTGGGGGCGGGGAGGCCGATCTGGCTGTGTGCGCCGCGTGGGGGGATAAAGCTGCTGCGGGTGGACACAGGCTGCCGTGGGCGTCTTGAGTTGTGAGCCTGGCTCCCTGGTTTAATGGGACTCAGAGGACCTTTCAGAGGAGATGCTGTTTGGCTGGGCTTTGAAGGCTGAAGAGGAACCTGCCAGGTGGGGCAGAGGGAGCAGGGCTGGGGTCCCTGGGGGTGGCAAGCCTAGGTGTGAGGGGGAGGGTGGAAGGGCTCTGGGGGTTTGCTCGGCAGGGTGTGGACAAGTCTGTGGGGTTTTTTTTAAAGTAGAAGTCAGGCTTGCTTTTCAGGTCGCTCTGGTGGCCCTTGGTGGGTACATGGGGCGGACCGTGGGTGACGGGTTAGGGGGTGTGGAGAGTGTGGAGGCCTGGAACGGACCCATGGGAGGGAATCCTTGCCCTGCTCTCTTTCCAGAGCTAGACCGGACAGGGAGGGGAGCGGGCACGGATGGGCTGAGAGCAGTGGAGAAGAGGGCCCTTAGGGCTGAGCTCGGTGCATGTTAGTGGGGACAGAGCGAGGCCAGCCGGGGGGAGGAGGTGGAAGGTCACTTGCTTGTTTTGGATTGGGCCTCCGTAGACATCCAGGTAATGTGTTCCCTCGGGCAGGGAGAAATATGAACCTGCAAGCAGAGGCTTGAGAGGCGTTGACATGGAGGGGGTGGGGAGGTGTGGAGCTGGAGGAGATCAGAATGTAGGGCGAGGACAGGAAGAGGAGCTGGGACTGCAGGCAGCGGGGAGGTGGCGCCCACGAGGGCAGGGCACCTTCACCACCCGTTCTGTCCTGAGAGCGCGCTCAGCAGTGCGTGCTCACACACCCACGTGCACACGCACAAGCGGAAGCCAGAGTGACACCGTGAATAAGTCACTAAATCAACTCCTAAACTCAGTGAGGGGCTCTGGAAAGGGAATAGAAGGTTCCCCTCCCTCCAGCATCCCCATCCTGCCACTTTAGAAGACCTGGTGAGGGGCCTTTTGCTTTCATGCAGCAGCAGAGGAACGTGGCTTCAGCTGGAGGCCTTCCTGGTGGTGGCTGCATCTTGAGTGCCTTCTCTGTACTGCTAAGTGTTCTTGCTGAGCTGTGCTTTCTGGGTGCTTCCCGTTTGTTATTCCTGATGTGTAGGTAAAGGAAAATGAGAACAGCTGGAGGGCTCACTCCCAGGGTCACCATCTGTGAGTGGCAGAGTTGGGACTCCGGTCTGTCTCTGACATCCCATCCCCCAGCCTGTTCTTGGCTCCTCTAAAGAGTCACCAGGAAGGAGACAGCAATGAGACGGGAGTCCCAACGCAGCGGTACCAGGAAGGGCTCAGCCATGGAAGTTGAGGGGAGAGGTGACTCATCAGGACTTGGAGGTGAAAACGGTTTTGGGGCAGAGGATTGGGTTTTCAGAAGTGGAGGTGACAGCGTTCATTTTACAGCTGACACCTGCAAGACCTCTTGTGATCTTAAAGACTGTATTGATAAAAGTCCAGCAAATCCCTCCCATTGCTGCCCCCGCTTTTGAGGGCCCCCAGTGCCCTCCCTGCTTGCGGAGCTGAGGGAGTGGTTGGGCCAGGGGGTGTGGGCCCTGAGGCCAGCTCTTGGGGGGTATGGTCTCCCTGGAACAGAGCATCCTGGGCGGCCCTGGAGATCTGGAGATGCGCCTGCTTCCTCCACCATGTCCAGCACACCTGTTTCTAGCAGACAGGAGGCTGGGGGCCTGGGGGGAACAGGTGGCCGAGCACAAGGACACCTCCTGTGTACCCAACAGGGGTGGGGGAGGGGGGCAGGCCGCTTTGACATAACTCGTGCCAGTTTCAGCATCCTGCGCACTAGATAATCTCCCTCAAGGCCTGCCTCGTTGGGCCATGCCTTTTGAACAAGGGGTTCCATTTTGAAGTTCTTGCTCATGCAGAGCTGCCAACATCTAGGGCCTCTGTGCAGATGGCACTGGTTCAGCACCTGATCTTGGCCTCCGGTGGGACCATGTCCTCGAGAATATGACACAGGCCCTTGTGACCAGGGATAAAACCTTCCCTGTATGCCCCCCTCTGCCTTCTAGAGAACGTTGTAATTAACAGCCTGAAACATCAGGTCCAAGGGAAGGGGGTGGGGGGTGCTGACAACAGGGGGAGTGAATCGTTCCACTTTGGGTCCAAGTATCAGGGGATAATGGTGACTCACTCTTAAATGAGGGCCTTCTTAGGCCCTTGACTATTTTTACATTTTTATTTTCTCGTGGCCCACAACCTAATTTCTCTCATGTTTCTCAAAGACAGCCCTAAATTATAGGAGGGGTGTGCCTGTGTGGATCATGTTTAATGGTTACCATATTGGAAACCGGAGCCATTATCCCATCTGATCGTGAGGAATGTGAGCCCGTCTAGAGTTGCTGGAACAGTCGAGCTACTGTGGCAGAGGTAGCTCACGGCCCCCGTGATGCCGATGGGCGCGCTGGCTGCCCGATGGGTGTCTACAGGGCAGCCTGACCACCGGCCGGGAGGAGAGCACTGCGGCCTGTCAGCCTGTTTACTTATCGGCCTCCCATTGCCCTGACTTCCTTTGTCCCCCATTTTCACGTTGGCAGTGCTTCTCCAGACAGCGCGCTTTCATCTTTATGTTCTGCGGAGTATTTGTCTCCCTCTCCCCACCCCTTCAAGAACAAGTAGTACCTCTGCCTTATAAGGCCTGCGTTTGATATCAGGAGTTTTGCCTCCTGCAAGTCTGCTCTTGTAAAGGGAGGCCCTGAGGATGTGGCGCTCAGCAGCCTGCTCCACGGCCGCCTCCTCTGTCCAGTCTGCAGAGCCTCGTGGGGGCCCTCGTGGGGACTCACAGTGGGGACTTGGTACTTCTGTCTTTCCAGTGGCGAGTTTCGGTGCCAAGATGACAAATGTGTCACGGCAACTGGGAGCCCTGCTTGCCCAAAGCCCCTGTGCTGTGAGGAAGGAAACCTCCCGGGGCACCAACACACTGATGCGCCAGGTGTCTGTCTGTCTGTCCAGATTCCCTCAATTCAAGCTTGTAAAAAAAATCCTTGAGGAGCCGTGTATGGGGGGGGGTGTGTGTGTGGATTGCCTGGATTTCCTTCCCAGGGCCAGAAACTGGGGCATCAGCCAGGTAGAACTTGTAAGCAGGACCCTGGGGGGCTGGTCAGGCTGACCTGGACACCAGGCCCAGTGCCACGGCCCGGCCAGTGCCATGGACTGTGGTGCAGCAGCCACGTGCAGCTTCATTCTGTGTTTCTTCCGTCAAGACGTTGGCAGCCGCATCTGGTGACAGTTTTCCCTCTTGCCAAGGTGGTGGAATATCCGGGAGGTTCCCGGGAAGGCAGACTCTTGCCTCTTGCCCCAAGTGCTCCTGCTGGAGTTCCCGTGGGAGCTGGCTTGGCCCCAGCCCACTCCCTGTGCCCCACCCCTGCACCCCCCGCCTTGCCCCCCATGCCCCAAACCCTTGTACCCTGTGCCCTGCCCCCTACACCCCATGTCCCAACCCCCTGCCTCTTGCACCCCAAGCTCCCCACCCTGCCTCCCCTGCCCCACCCCCGCGTCCCACGCCCCATGAGGGCGGTGCCTCCACCACCTGCAGCCGGGGCCTCCACTTTTCTCTCCTTTCCTCCTCCCTGCCCTCCCCTCCTCCCCCCTGAGCAACCTGTTTCTGGGTGTCTCTCCTTCCCCTTCTGGGAGGACTGTGTTTAGGGCTCGGATATCCCTGACTCTCTGAGACGCGGGGTGACCCTGCTGCATCCCGGCAGCCAGGGTTCCTGGTTCTTAGCTGGGATAATCTTGGGCATTTGGAAGGACACCCCAGAAGAGGCTGCACTGGTGAACGGGCTTATCTGCTGCTCGCTCCTTCCTTAGCTGTTTAAATCTGTCCCCCGCGCTCCAGGAGCCGAGTGCGGAGCAAGACGCGGGCTTCCCATCTGCTCTCTGTTTGCATTCAGGCGCCATGTCCAACCCCACACGGGGTTTTATAGGCAAACATCATAAACTGTGACAGCCTGAAGTGCTGCTGTCGCGGCTGGCGGCGGCTACCTGGAAGGCTGGTGTGCAGCGCCCGCTCCCTGGCGTCCTCCGGAGACGTCGAGCCGGACTCGGCTCCCGTGTGCAGAGGGTCCCGCGGCAGGCGCCTCTGACCAGGCAGGATCTCGCCCTCCCAGGGCCGCGATCACCCCCGGCCAAGCTCTCTTCCCTGTGTTTGTTTCCCGGGAGGTGAACACGTGTAGGTGCAGCTGACTTCAGTGTGAACTCACCCAGAGCTGGTGACCTCTCCCCTGGTCTGCTGAGGGGCTTGGAGGAGAGTCAGCGAGCCCCTGCCTCAGCTTCCTCCTCTGCCCGCTTCTAGATTCCTGTCCGCCCCTTAGGAATCCAACAGAGTGTGTCTGTGCTGCAGCTTTCTCCCTTCTAGCGTTTCCACTGATGCCAGGGAGCGTACATGGAAATATAGTTTGTCTGTGGCAGTCTCTGCAAGAGGACTTGGTGTGGAGCTAAGCAGCTTCTGGAATCTCCTCCTCCTTGTGCTTTTGCAAGAAGGGATGAGTCTTTTTGCAAGAAGGAAGGAGGCCCAGCTCAAGGTGGGCTGCCCAGGTGCTGACCACGCAGATGGCTGCTGGTTTGTTTGCCGCCCTCGTCTGATTAGCTATGTGCCCATGGTTCCCTTCTTGGTATCAGAGGAGCCACTGTATTGAGAAGTTACATGGCGACATGCAGCTGGCCCTTAAGTGCTTCAATGTTCTGGGGAGAAAGTTCAAGTTGTTGCAACGCAACTCAGAAGCCTGGCTGTTCCCGTGCAGCCCTGGCGAGTGGAAGCAGGCAGAGCCCGCCCAGAAAGTAAACCCTTGGTGCTGTTGGTTTAGCAATTTTAGGGAACACTGACAAAGATTGTCCAACACCTGTGCGTGTCGGTTCCAGCTTTCTCCCTCAAATTTCAATGCATATTGTGAAAGAAGTTTGGAAACATTTGTCTTTGGAAGCCTCTGGAACCTTCCCCCTCATTGTGTTTAGGTGAGATGGGCTGAAGGGCGGGTTGGGTGTCCTTCCAGCCCCACCCCCTGGATTGGACAGAAGAGGGACATGAACTAGGGATGTGGCTTCTTACTGAGGACAAGGCCGTGTCCCCTGCTGCGTGCACCCCCACCCCCTCCCATATGAAAAGGCTAGTGAGAGCATGCTAGGGCACCAGCAAGGATCCATGCAGGGAATGCTAGCATGCCACAAAAGGGATTGTTTGACTTTCCTGAGGAGCCCATTGCTGCATTGGCAGGTCAACAGTCCTGTGTTCGGAGCAGCTTGCAGCCAGGGCGCCGCTAGTGTCCAGGCTACGGCAGCGCAGCAGCACAGATGTCAGGGAGCCGGCAGTTTGTCCCTCCCTGCAGATGGGTATGGGGCAATACCTCTGTGCAGTGGACACAGCACTGCGGAGCATGTTTGTGGGGGCACGAGCCTTGAAGTCACCCCAAGGATTCAATTTAAGCACAGAAGAGAAAACAAACATCTGATGGCTTCCTGGGGAGGTGTCAGGGACAGAGCCACCTCGCTTGGCCAGATGTTTGGGTTCCAGGCTGAGCGCCCGTGTTCTTGCTCCTGGGTCTGACATGTCCCTTGCTGAACCCCCAAACTGGATCCATTGGGTGGCTCAGAGGGGATTGGTGTGGCTCCTGCCCCACAGGCCTCTCTCTGCCCCTCTGCCATCTACATCCGGTAGGTGTTAAAGGTGCATCTTGGGTGATGTCGGCCCAGCATTTCAGGCACCCCCCCAGCTTCAGCAACAATTTATCACCTGTTTCAGGTGAAGGAAAGGATTCTCAGTGAAAATGGCATCCTTTAAAAATGGATCACTATCACTTGATCTTTGCTGGGAGAGCGCTTGCCATCCTGGAATGTTCTCCTGCTTCCATGAAATAGGGACGTAGCTTCTTATTGAGCACAGGGACAGAGCAGGTTGGCTGCGGGGGACCCTGTGCCTCCTTTGGGGTGGGGGGTATGGCCGCACGAGTGCTGAACGTCCCTGCTGAGTGATCTCTTGAAGACTGATTCCAGCTCAAAGGACAACGAACCCCATGACTTCTCGGTGACGTGCTGACATGCGGGGTGCTCATAATAAATATTGATTATTGTATGATCCAGGCAAGTCCTGGGCAACTTCATTCTAGCATGTGGGTGCTGTTTGAATACTTAACTGTTGGACACAGGGCGCCCAGATGACACCTGAACCTTGCCTTAGCCCTCCCCAAAGGGGTGGTCAGAGGGCCTGTGGGACCCCAGCAGGGCTGACATATAAACCTGTGACTCTTGGTGCTGGAAGTAGACTATGGTCTGAGGTTTGGGCCCAACCTGAACGCCTCCTTACCCCCTCCCTCTCTTTCCTTTATTTCTCTTGCTCTGACTTTTCTGCCCAGCATCCAGAGTTCAGAGTATTTCTATTAGTCATTCGGTTCAGCTGCATTAGGACTTACCCATACATTCTCAGTACTGATGTTCAGATCTCGCTCTCCATGGCACGTCTCTGACCGTCCTATAACAACAGGGCTTGGCAGACTTTCTGGAAAGGGCAGACTAAATATTTGATGGCATAGGGTCTTTGTTGCAGCTACTCAGCTCTGCTATCATCACCCCAGACAATACCTGTGGGAACCGGCCTGGTCCTGTGCCAGCAAAGCTCTGTTTACAAAACCAGGATGGCTGGCTTTGGCCCTGGGGCCAGATTCGCAGACTCCTGCCCTAGAAATTCTTGTCTGCCATCTCCTCTCCCTGCCACTATCTCCCTGTTCCCTCTTCCTGACCCTAGGACCACGCACATATTTATGTTTCTCATAGATTTTGCATATTTGATCAGTTACCTCCAAGGTAACTAAAATCCTGCAAGTGCAGGGACTTTCTTTGTCCCTGTGCTGCTCAAGCACCTGGAATAAAGTCTGGCCCACAGGAGGGGTCCAGTCAGTCATTCTTGAAGGAGAAAAAACATTCGAGATGTAACCGGCCTGGCCGCTGGGACTGCTGCCCTGGTCCTGGTCCACCCGTCCTTGCTCACTTTGCTTCTGTTTTCCCCTTTTGTTCGTCACTCTGTCCGCGTGTCCACCTTGGGGGTGCCGGCTGGGGGGAGCCCTGGCTCCTGTGGTGGCCACGGGCAGTGAGGAGGAGGAGCTCTGGACCAGATGCGTGTGGTCCTCCCTGATCCTTCAACGGTGGGGTTGAAACACGGAGCCGCTTCATTTCGGTGTTTTGTGGAGGTTTGCACAGACCACACGCAAAAGGGCAAACAATTGCCTCGTGGAGCTGCCCCGTCTGGAGCCGTACCAGAGCCGGCGGCTTTGTGTACTGTGGGCCTGGGACTCCGGTACCACTCACGGTTCCCTGTGAGGCAGGCACGCCCACGTGTGGGCCCTTGGGGGTCCCAGCCTGTGGCTCCGGCTGGTGTGCGGAGACGTCCTGTGGGCTGGATCCTGCCTGTGTAGTGGGGAACTGTGATCATGCTCAACGTGGGCCAGTTTCCTTACTGAGGGTAAGGGAGGGGACACACATAGAGCCATGGGATCTCAGCCCTCTTGCTGGGACCTCGGGGTCTCCTTGGGACACAGGACAAATCCATCAGAAATGTGTGGCATGGCGGACGGACGAGGAGGGAGATCCGCTACACGGCGGGCCAGGTGACTGACTCCTGGCCGGCTGCCACAGGGAGGGGGCTGCTCCGTAAGGGGCCTGAGGATGAATTGGCTTAACAGGATGGAAGAGGTGGCCTAAAGGGGCCAGAACCCAGGTTGTGTGGCACAGCAAGGGGCGGGGGGAGCAGAGTGGGGTCCACCTGGCCTTTCCTGGGTCCTGTGTGATGTGCCGGCGGTTTGGGTTGAAGACCCTTTTCAGCACAGTGGGCACCACCTCTGGTTGTCTGCCTCACTTTACTCTTCGTTTTGGGTGGTTAGGCCGCCAAGGTTTCTATTAGTTTAAGAAAAACAGCATTTTCTAAGTCATCCAGTGCACAATTCAGTTTCCAGAGCAGCAAAGGCAGAACCAGAAGCCTCTGTGGCTGCTCTGGTCCCGAGTTGGAGATGCGTCATTTTTGCAAGCTCGGCTTTGTGACAACAATGTCTTGCACAGATAAACAGGTGTGCGTGCACGTATATGCATGTACACATATACGTCCTTACACATAAACCCCCACGGTATCACAGTTTCCTGGTGTCAGCGGTTGCAGGCCGGCTTTGGGTTGGCAATGGACTTCACAGTTCTCGGGTACAATCTCCTTTCACGCTGGGTTTGTGGGCTGTGGAGACTGGGTGGGGCAGCTCTCGCTGGGTGCTTCCTCCAGTGGGTGCTTCCATGCTCATCTGCTCTGCACCTGCGGCCTCTCCTGGGTTGTGGGGAGAGGTGCCGCCTGCTGGGGCCATTTCAAAACAAGAACTGCCTCTGCTGGGAAGCTGGGGCCTCCACTGACGTTTGTTGGGCCTTCTCTCCCTTCCTCTTTCCCATCTCCATCTTCTCTCTCCCACCTTTCTGCAGAGCCACCAAGCAAATACCAAATCTCCCAACCAGAAGCATACGTGGCCGCCCCGGGGGAGTCGCTAGAGTTGCGCTGCCTTTTGAGAGATGCCACCCCGATCAGTTGGACTAAAGATGGGGTGCACTTGGGGCCCAACAATAGGACAGTGCTTATTGGGGAATACTTGCAGATAAAAGGTGCCACGCCTAGAGACTCCGGCCTCTATGCTTGCACTGCCGCTAGGACTCTAGACAGCGAGACTGTCTACTTCACGGTGAATGTCACAGGTGAGTCAGCCTGCACCCTCTGCTTTCTCCCTAGATGTTTTCTGGGTAAAATTTGATTGGATGAGGGAAGTCCTAGTGGGATCTGCTGATGGGCTGCCACACACACAGCATCCCAGGTGGTCATTGACCAGTTTTTGAAGTTCTTGTGCAGGATCCGGGTACTAGAGAGGACTGTCCTGCATGAGGACGTTTGGCATATTCCATGACAGCGCACTTTTTCTTTTTTGTAAAGATTTATTTATTTATGCATACAAGAACTGGGGTGTAGGCCAGAGATGCTGGGGTGGGGGTATGTGAGAGGATTCACCAGAGACAGAGTGGGGAGCAGAACAGGCAGACTGATGAAATACACTGCTGAGGGGAGCAGCGGGGGAGACAGGAGAGGTCTGCTGCGCCATGTGGGTCAGCATCCTGGCTGGGGATCCAACTGCAGTGGTGATACCACTGAGAATTAACCCCTCGGCTACCAGGGAGGCCCAACAGTGCACTTTGATAGAAGCGGAAACGCTTGGTTTTCCTTCTGGCACTTTGCATGCTGAAGATTTCTGATGCCTTTTTATTACAATTCTCTGCTTGGTTTTTCTTCTACACAGTATGCGGCGGGGAGGCACTGCACAGGCCCTTAGGGACCCATCTTAAAGTTTTCCTTTCAGAATGTTAGTAAACGGGCTGCCAACCACACAGGGGCAAATTTTTGCCAGGGCCTAATTCCTTCCTTGACGGGGGACCCGAGTGCCGAGAGGTGGTGTTGGGAAGAATCTTTGGCTCTACACACTCAGTAAATCTGCTTGGCCCTTGACTACCATCAGAGGTTGACATCCAGCTTCAGTCTCTCCAATTTTATAGCATGTTTAAATCATATGAAAGCAGAAGACCTTGAGAATTATAACAGCTCAACTGTCCTCATGGAGAGAAAGTCGAAGCCATTAAAATCATCTTAACTAAACATGGTCGCAGATGTGTGGGGTGGGCTGCAGGTGGTTGAACCCCTTCTCCGGAAGGACTGAGCTCTAGAAGATTGTGTGCAACCTTCCGCCTTGCACAAACACATGGGTGTGTTCTTTTGAATACAGATGCCATCTCGTCCGGAGATGATGAGGATGACAGTGATGGCTCCGAGGATTTTGTCAGTGAGAACAGTAACAACAAGAGTAAGTACGGCCGCCTCCGAGGCCCGGAGCAGCAGAGCCCGGCACCTGCTCCACTGTCTTCCTGGCCACTCCTTGGGAACCCATGTCCTGTGTCCTCGCTCTCTCCCCTGACTTTCGATCTGAGAATAAACCAGTGTCCCTGTACACCTGTTTCTTCTGTTTGTCTTTTCTTCTCGTGTCAGTGGCTACTTTCGTGACTTTTTCCTTGCTTTCCTTCCTTTGGTTGTTTCCACTACTGGGGGCCGTGGATCTCATTGCTGTCGAGGCCCTGCACCTGCCTGGTGGTTCTCAATGGGGTGATTCTCCTGCTCCCCCGGGGGCACGGGGCGATGTTTGGTTGTCTCTGCAGGGGGTGTAGGGGGCTGGTGGCATCTAGTGGGTCGAGACCAGGGATGCTGCTAATGAGCATGCCACCTGTGAGGACAGCCCCACAGCAAAGCCCCAAAGGCCAGCGGAGCTGAGGTTGACAAACCAGTCTTTTGAAGCATCACTGAGTGGGCCTAAAGGGAGGAAGGATGCACTGCTGTGTGGACAGCCACAGAATGGGGCCGGTGAGGTGGTGAGGGCTGTTTGCCTTTTTTTTTTTTAGAGATTTATTTATTTATTTATTTATTTATTTAGGCATATCAAGAACTGGGGTACAGGCCAGAGGTGCTGGGTGGGGAGGGGAGTGAGAGGAGTCACCAGAGACAGAGTGGGGAGCAGAACAGGCAGATGCACTGAAATACACTGCTGAGGGGAGCAGCGGGGAGACAGAGAGGTCTGCTGTGCCGTGTGGGTCAGCTCCCTGGCCAGGGATGCTGCAGTGACAGCTGATAGCTTGATAGTGCTGAGACTTAACCCCTTGAACCACCAGGGAAGTCCCCGTTTGCTTTTTTTAAAGGTAGTGAACTCCGAGCGCCCCCGTATAGGAGGCCTTCTCTTGCTGAGTACAAACTTGGCCTTAGGAGCTGGGAAAGCTGGGATCGAATCCTGCTCTACCATTTCTGGGTGGGGTGACCTGGGGCAAGTCATTTAACTGCCTCAGTTTCTTCAGCTGCAAAAGGTGGATGATGACAATAGCCGATGGGGTTTTAGGATTAGATGAGCTAGCACTTCACTGTTCAAGAAAGGAGATGTAATAAGCGTGAGTAGTTTTTTCTCATAACATAGCTGGAAGGTTCCCAAAGCCATTTTACATTGGTCACTGGCGTTCTTTGCTTAGGTGTTCTGTTCTACATTTTCATAATGGGATTTTAGTTGGCTTAATGGATTTAAACAAAGGCTAAATAATAATTATAAAATAGGCCCAGGGCTTTTTCGAGGACAAAGAGAAAATTGATGTTAGGCACTGGGGATAATATATTGCTAAAGTGGGGAGTTGGATTCGTCCCCGAGTCTCCTAGCAGCTTGGGCAAAAAGGGAAATACTTGGGTTTGTATAGTTTTCACTTTTTGGCAAGAGAAAGCTTGAGGCCTGGACCACTTGCATCACCATCACCTGAGAGATGAAAATTCTCAGTCCCCGTCCCAGACTTGCAAATTAGAAGCATATGGCATTGGAGGACACACTGGCCAAGGGATTCACATGGAGATCAAGAGTTGACTGTTAAACAACTTGGACAAGCGTTTACTGTTAAAGATGATGTTCATGAAGCAGTGTGTAATAGGCCAAGTGTGTGTGATTTGTACGAGCCTTCTAATGAGGTTGTTACTATTACTGAATAGCAGATCCCTGGTGCACCGGACGACATCCCTCCCTTCTCGCTGCTTCTTTGGCTCCAGCAGGAAAGCCATTACTGGTCCTCGAAGAGTCCTTGAAGGCCTCTGGGCAGGCCCTGTGCCGACTGCTGGCTCAGTCCATTCCCCCACCATCCCATAAGGTGGAGAGACTAGTTATTTCTTTTTTATCGTAAAGATTTATTTATGTATGCATACAGCAACTGGGGTGTAGGCCAGAGATTGGAAATCTGTGATTGGAAATCTGTGATTCTGTCAGTGAGCAAAAGGCTGACCTGCAGTCCGGGCTTAGGCTAGTAACGTGTTGAATCACAGCTTCCCTCTGCCAATTCCCAGGGTGATAATGGGGGTTGAGAGAGATGCCGGTACCGTTCACAACAGTAAGTGAAACCCACCCGTGGCTGCTATTGCTGTTGACTGGACATCGAATTCTGACAGCACGGCTCAGGGTGGTGTTGGCATGCGTGGGAATGGGGTTGACCTGGGGGTCAGCCCTCCGCCTGATACCGTGGTACCATCAATACATGGGAGGGGATCAAACGTAACAGCCACACAGGTTATGTGACAAGTAGGCTGAGTGAGTGGAGGCTCTTTGATGATTCACAAGACTTCCTTGCCCCAGACCTGCAGGTTTTCCTCCTGAACTCTAGTCCCGACCGCCTAGCACCCGCGGGGAAAGAAGGGTCCGGTAGTGGACGCGCCGTCGGCATAGGCAGCTCTCGGCGTGCTGGCCATGCCTTCACCTTGCAACCGGCGTTCTTTGTAATGAGCTCTCGAATGACACCAGCTCTGCCCCTGAGTTGGGTGCCTGCAGTGATTAAGGCCTGGTGTTAGCTGTACCAGAGAGATACTGCTTTCGGGCACCGCCTCTGTTTGGTGCCTGTGAAACATGAGACCCGATTTAAAGTGATAGCCGCTCTTCGCTGGCTGCTTGGCCCCGCCATCTGTTGGTGTGATTAGGTGGGTCTCATTCACAGGTGCAGCCTGGGGCAGCTGAGATTAAGCAGCTGTGGCCATGTGGGCAGAGGGATGCCATGGCCGAGGAATTGGCAAGGTGGGGCCGGGGATCTCGCCATTAAAACAATTTTTTGCCACCTCAGGTGTCAAATGCCTGACCTGATGAATAGGGAAACTTGTAGAAGCATCAAATTCTTTGCATTTTCAGCCACCTGGAAAACACTGATGTGTCCAAATGGATTCCTTCAGTGCCTTCTGATCCTCCAGAAATACCTCGGGGTTATGTTTGAAAGTTCACCTTTAGTGAAATTAACAGGCGATGGTCCAGGGACCCGGTGCTGAAGGAGGCATTTCTGAGAAGGTGGTTGCTCTGTTTTGGGTTGGAAGCTGCTCGTCTGTGTCTTCTGGCCTGAACAATATATTGCAGGTCATTCCCTCTGCTGCTTTGCAAGATTATCGTTGATCCACTTTGGTGGTTAACTCTAAGAAGGTGAGCTTGTCTGCTGGGGAGGATTCTTCTCAGATTCTCTGCAGACCACACAAAGCTCGGTGGCCAGATCCAAGGGCAGAAAGAGCAATTCAAAGGTGAAGGCAGGGCTGTTCAAATTTGCACGTGGAGCTGGTATCCTCTCACAGCAAGGTCTGATTGGACTTGGATGGGAATGTTCTGCCATGTTCAGGCTGGTTTTCATACCTCTTCAGACCGGACCCAGCTCAAAAGTGGGCCCCCTTCGAGGGTTCCCTGGCTTGTGCAGCAAACGGAGTGAGTGGCTGGGTTGTGCGTCCTCACCTGCTCCTGTCCTATCAAGGGCAGTTTGGAGCATCTCACCCCCCTATTCTGCTCTGCGGGGCAGAACGTGCCTGGGTGGTGAACGCCGTGTTTTGTGCAGTTTTGGTCCTTTTGCGTGTCATTGTGGGCTTGATTCAAAGCAGATCAACGTGGCCTGTCCCTGAAGAGAATAAACCTGTGTTTCCCAAAGACTTTCCCTGGGAACCCCAGTCTGAATAGTTGTCTGCCAAAACTGAGCTGTATGTTGAAATGAATTTAGAAAATAACCTCATCCTGTCACCCTTTCTCAGAGACCTATAGTGTGTACGAGCCTCATGCAACTCTGAGAAGTTCTTTACTGAAACATCTGTTTAATTTTGGCCTTTCCCAGGGTTTTCCAAACTTATTGACCATAAGACCCTTTTTAAAACACAGCATCTATTAACATCCTGTTGCATCTGCTTTGAAAATCCCTGTAATGGGCTGATTTGATTGCGTGCACTTTTCCCAGCCTTTCAAGTCCAGCTCCTCTATCGCAGATGTCAAGGGCATTCTCCGGTCATATTTTAGCAGCTGACTAGCTTTGATGACCTCACACCTTACCAGTGCTAGACCTTTCCCTGAGTGGAACAATCCTGTGATGTCATCACGAGCTGGCTGCCAGGAAATAATGCTGCTACAGATGCCCTTTAGTGAAACAGACTTTCTCCGGGCAGAAAGTTACGATTTCAAATGCTAGTTTTTTGAAATGCATCCAGGCTGAGGATTTTGAAAGTTTCAGGATTTATTCTCTAGCCTAGGGAAAGCATGACTTAACTAGTCCTGGCCGTCCTGAGGTCCTAAATAACTTAATGGGTTACCTGGCAGGCGGTAACTACACTTGGATGGTTCTTTGTGACCGTGATTTGTGATACCTTCAGCCTGCGTTGAAGTGATGAATGTTTCTGAAGAGCTTGACACTTAGTGCTTGGGAAGATCATGATTGACAACAGCTCAGGTTTGGCCGCTGGACTAGAGGGAACTGTTAGTGAGACAGCCGGCTCAAGATTCTTGCTGCTGGAGCAGCTCTTTCTACTGAGAGAAGAGACCAGGTAATTTTCTCTTTGGGTTTCATTCCTGTCGAGACCTGCACGTGCCCATACTCTGTGTCAGTGAGGAAGGCAATGTTTTTTTCTTTTCTTGGAACTAGGGAAAATGAAGGTACTTGGCCTGATCTCAAATTCCTTCCATTGATCAGCCTGCTGATAATCGCTTGCTGTCCCTTTTGCCCTAATTGGATTTTTTTCTTGGTAGAGATTATATCTAAGCTGGTGAGTGCTACTTGCTTAGTTAAGGTGAAGTTTTCAGGAATTAAAAAAAAAAAAAAATTAAAAGGACAGTGCCTAGGCCCTCTTAGTATTTTGAAATCTCTTTGTAATGAAAACTCACTGTGAATTGGTTTCAGTAGTTCACCCAAAGGCTGGCGCTGGTGGCTCACCAGAGGGCCTAGTGACTGTCTCTTCTTTCTCCAGCCTCCCACCCGATAAAGAGCATCACCAATTTCTGGAGGATTCTCC